CATATACCACAACTTGTTCAGCCATTCCCCAATTGATGGGCATTCCCTCAATTTCCAATCCTTGGCCACCACAAAAAAAGCTGCTACAAATATTTTTGTACATGTGGGTCCTTTTCCTATTTTTATAATCTCTTTGGGATACAGCCCTAAAAGTGCTATTGCTGGGTCAAAGGGTATGCACATTTTGGATTTTTTTTTTTTGGCAACTGGGGTTAAGTGACTTACCCAGGGTCGCACAGCTAGTAAATGTCAAGTGTTTGGTCTGAGGCCAGATTTGAACTCACGTCTTCCTGACTTCAGGACTGGTGCTCTATCCACTGCACCACCTAGCTGCCCCTGGTATGCACATTTTGATAGCCCTTTGAGCATAGTTCCAAATTGCTCTCCAAAATGGTTGGATCATTTCACAACTCCACCAACAATGCATTAGTGTTCCAATTTTCCGACATCTTCTCCAACATTTATCATTTTCTTGTTTTGTCATGTTGGCCAATCTGATTGGTGTGATATGGTACCTCAGAGCTGTTTTGATTTGTACTTCTATAATCAATAGTGATTTAGAGCATTTTTTTATATGACTATAGATGGCTTTAATTTCTTCATCTGAGAACTGCCTGTTTACATCCTTTGACCATTTATCAATTGGGGAATGACTTGTATTCTTATAAATATGACTTAATTCTCTATATATTTTAGAAATGAGGCCCTTATCAGAGATACTGGTTGTAAAAATTCTTTCCCAATTTTCTACTTTCCTTCTAATCTTGGTTGCATTGGCTTTGCTTGTGCAAAAACTCTTCAATTCAATGTAATCAAAATTATCCATTTTGCATTTCATAATGTTCTCTATCTCCTGTTTGGTCATGAATTCTTCTATTCTCCATAAATCTCATAGGCGAACTATTCCTCGCTCTCCCAGTTTGTTTATAGTATCAGTTAAGGCATGGTTTTAAAAAATGATAGAATAAATAGGAAAGAGAAAAAAAGAAATCTAGCCATTAAACCCCATGATATCTTATGAGGTTTCAGTAAATTTTTGATTGCTTGCACATAGCATGTACTTAATAAATGTTTAATTGAGTAAAATCTTGAAGAAAGGAAGGGATTTCAACTGATGGTGGAACACTAGAAATCAAAAAAAACATGTATAGCTTCATCACAAAAGAAAGCTAGCATTATCACCCTATATAATGATGCACAGAAGGGAATAAATTATAAGACAATAATCAGAATTATACATTAAGGCTAACTAAAAGAAATATTTAGGAATTTTACTGAATAACTCAATAATAATGCATAAAAGGATTACTTAAACCTACAACAAATTGTGTGAAGAAGAGTCTCAAGTAATTTAATGGAATTATAAGACATTGGCTATTGGATGAAGACAACTAATGACCACAAGAACCTTCCAATGATTGGTTGAGATTAGCCACCTCACTTATGGCCTAGACAAAATTCAAGGTAGCTCCTCTAGACCTCACCTTCCTGACATCATTGGTCCTCTTCAAGAATGAAGGACAAATAACAGCTATGTGCAAAGGACTATACTATTCACTGATTTTTTCTGGAGGGAGGAGAAGTGGACAGTCTGGACCTATGATTTAATTTATGTGGGGAACTCTGTGTGGGAGCGGTTGTGCCAACCTTCGCACTAATGTGTGTATTTGTACCAAGGAACCCCAGATTCATTAGGGAGATGTTTTGTTTCTATTGTTCTAACTATATCATTTCAATAAATGCCTTTGCTTTGAGCTAATTATACTTTTCAGCTCAGTAGTGTCACACTCAAATAGAAGTGTATCCCTTCAGCTGTTTATTCACTCAAAACCCATAAATTAACATTATCTATGTTATATTGTATTTCTCCTTATTTTGTTAAATATTTCCCAGTTACATTTTTAGTTTGCCATCTCCGCTTCATCTTACTGTCTTAAAGAGAAATATATTAGCATTGGTCGGTAAGCTTTACTTTTAGGAGTACCGACATGGGTAACTTTAAACAATGAAGAAATTAAATAGATTCTATATCATTTTATAACTGCTTCCATGCTACAAGTGATCTTACTCGGTGTTACTGTTCTATTTTGTATGATTGTGCAACATTTCTTGTCTCTTTGCCTATGGTCTAAGTTTAGAAGTTCATTTCTCCTGCTAATCGATGTTCTATTCTTGCCTCAAGGAAATCTGTTATACTTGAAGGATGTAGATGGACATCAAGCAGTCTAGTCTAGTACTATCTTTATACCACCAAGCTATCCTTCAAGGATATCTGGTTTGCCATCCAAAGAAGTCTGGTCCACTATCTCTAACCTTGCAGGTGGGCTCAAAAAAATGAACATTTTTTAGTCACGAGAGGGAAGGAGAAGGTTGTTGCTAGCCCCTCATTCCTAATTTTCAACCAATCACGTTGTATGTTCCCATCCCCCACACACAAACACACAATGCTGAATATTGTGTAACCAATTGCATTGCTTTCCTCACCTACCCAACTCTGTTCTTTGTTCTCCTGTACTACCCAAACCTATGTAAAGGCTAGTAAACCCCATGTTATGGTCTTTGGTCATTGAGAGAGGCTACTGTTAGCCTGCATAATCATTTCCAAAGACCAATTGTAAGTGAGGATGGTGGACCAGAGGAGTGCTATATATAGATAGAATCTTTGTTATCATCTACTCCAAATTTCCTCACTTTACACATAAGGAAATGGAGGCTTTGAGAGGTTTACTTTGAGAAACTTGCAAATACAGCTCATGTGTGCTTTCCACAAAGTGGGTAGCAGAACTCCGGCTTGTAGGTGCTCATTCTTTTCAGTTGTGTCCGACTCTCCATGACCCCATTTGGGGTTTTCTTGGCAAAGACACTGGAGTGGTTTGCTATTTCCTTCTCCAGCTCATTTTTATGGATGAAGAAATTGAGGCACACAGGGTTAAGTGACTTGCTTAGGAGCACATAGCCAGTAAGTATCTGAGGCCAGATTTGAACTCAGGGAGATGAGTCTTCCTGATGCCAAGCTTAGCACTCTCTATACTGAGCCAACTAGCAGCCCCTCCACTACCACTAGCTACCATGATCATTCACTCACAATACTTGAAACCTGTTCTATAAACTTTGTTCTCTCATTCCTCAGTCGGTAAGTCCCGGAACATGTGTGTGTAATGACTGGTTTACAACATTGTTACGTTACATCATCAAATTTTCAATGCATAAAAAACCCCACACATTTACAATAAATTACTAAATTTAAGACACGCCATTTAAAAAAATTATGTTTTTTGAAATAATGCAAAAATTTAAAAAAAGTTAAAGGGTTAAAGAAAGTAGATTTCCAGGGGGGTACTGAGTAATTTTTTTTAAAAGGAGGTGGTAGGCCAAATAAGTCTGGGAACCTCTGCAAGGAACCACTTTCTTTATAAATCAGTCAATCAATAAGCATTTGTTAAGTGCTTACTATGTGCCTCATCAGATGAAGGGACAACTTTAAAGAACTACCAAAGTCCTAAGAATCCTCCTCTGTCATAAAACACATTAGGAGGGAGATACAGAAAGAGACAGAGTAGCTAAGTGGTGCAGTAGATAATGCTGGGCTTTGAGGCAGGAAGACTCAATTTCATGAGTTCAAATCTGGCCTCAGATACTTAATTAGTTGTTTGACCCTGGGCAAGTCACTTAACCTAGTTTGCCTCAGTTTTCTCATCTGTAAAACAAAGCTTGGAGAAAGAAATGGCAAACTGCTCCTGTATCTTTGCTAAGAAAACTCCAAATGGGATCACAGAGTCAAACACGACTGAAACCACTAAACAACAATGAATATGTCAGGAAACCAAGGAAGTGGCATATATTTAGTATTTAGCATTCTTAGCAGAGATTTCCTTTAAAGATGAGGAATTCCAGAGTTGAAACAGAAAGTTTGCAGACAAATGGAACAGTAGCTTACCCCAGTCCATTCCTGGATAGAGCTAAAAGTTTGAACTTCAAATTACTGACATTTTTATTTGCTGATCATAAGTGTGATGGGACCTCAACCCCTAAAAGTAAAAGACCATGTCTTTGAAAGTAACCCATTTTCCTACACATTTCAGCAGCCCAGATCATTGGTGTCTCTGCCCAAGATACCTGGCCTATCACAGCCCACCTAAATCACCTAATTAGCTTACTTGACATTCTTTTCACTGTTGCACTTGGCACACCCCAGATTTACTACTCCTTAATCCCATTTAGATTCTTTCACTGTCCTTTGAGTTTGCAGGTTCACTAGGAACCCTGCCTGCTTCTATTAGCATTACAATAAGCTTTGCCACTTTACTGGAACACAGTTTGAGTGCATGAAATCATTCTAGGCAATGCCACCCTGTACCCTAACATTTCCGGGTTCCCAGCAACCCCAAACTGAGTCAATAAGTGCACTGATCATTTGGCATTTCATTAAGCATCCATATGTCCATAGAGAATTGATCCAAATGGAGGGAGGTAGAAATAGAAAAGACAAGACCTTTTGGTATGTAGGATTTATGTATCTGGCACTGCATAGACATTCGATAAAAAAATCTATCGCTTCATTGTTTTGATGAAATCTAGAGGTTTAGGGGTGCTGGGACCCCAAAATCACGACAGGAAAGAATTCAACCCAAGCCTTCTTTTAGCCAGAGACAGTTTATTAAAGATTGCCATATTAGCCAGACTCAAGGAAACTGAGCATCTGTGATCTATTAGCTGGATTGTAAGACTCTGAGCACCTTAATGGAGACAAGATGGACCTTACATACAGAAATACTATGGGAGGGATCTAGGAGTGGCCAAGTAGTTTATGAGGTAATAGAATTCCAGGGACCAGAACCACAGGGCTAAGGGAGAATGGAGCCTAGATAGGATTAAGGGTGGGAAGCGGCCTGGAGCCATAGGGAGGTAAGACAATGGAGGGCTAGGCTAGGTCAAGGGTAACAGAGAATTGGGAGATTTCATATAGCCACAAAGAAAGGCCAACTGATGGAATTACGACCTCAGGGGAATGCCAGAGACCTCCTTGATCTAGTGGGAGAATTCAAGGACAGTCCAAGGGTTTTCTAGGGCCCACAGACAAACGGGGCTGAAATTAGAACAAAGGTCTCAGCTAGGCTCTCACCCCATCAGTTTGATTTGAGAAGCAGTTAAGATAAAATATGAAGAAACAACTAGACTAAACTTCAGGTGAGATGCCAGTACAAAACACAGTGGAAAGTGGACGTTTAATAAGCACCGGCCCTGAGCAAGTTCCTTTACCTCTTTGGGTTTTAGTTTCCTCCTCTATAAAGTTAGGGGATTGGATTATAAATAAAATCTCTAATGTTCCTTTCAGTTTTGTTGGTACTAATCAGATTCCTGAGTCAGTAAATCAACTAGCATTTATTTAAAGCACATACTAAGTGCCGGGCATTTTGCTACAATTACAGGAGACAGAAGGCAGAGCAGAGGACAGAGAGCATTCTAGGCATGGGGAGCAGCGGGCCAGTTGCGCTGGATGGAAGCATATGTGAAGAGTCTGGTGAAGCCTATGGACCCCTTCTCAAAAGAATGTTTTTAAAGGCATAGAATAAAATGCATGGGATTACAAAGGAAACCCACCAGATTGAAATAATTTTTTCCCCCCAGTCTCCTCCCCCGCCTCGCGGGCTCACCCCCACCCTTACTCCACTTCTGCAAAGAACCCTTGCTTTGGATGAGGATGATGATGAGGTGGTAGCATTTCCATGGCGTTTCAAGGGTTGCAAAGCATTGCGCATGCGTGATCTCATTCGCTACCACAGTCCGCCTGCTATCTATCCCTCCCCCTTAGTAGCGAGCTAGGCTCCAGTTGAGAAGCTGCAGTCTCAGCTCTGTGTTCTGTCCCTTTCCAAAGTGAGCTCAATAAAGTTTTTTTTTTTGTTCCTGTGTATGTGTGGAGCTTTTTTCCCCTCGTCCCTACCCGTCGTGCCGTAATCCGTCCTGCAACTGTCGTAAAAGTTTGGTTTCCCCTTAGTAACGAACAACGCAGAAGCCATGGCGGCGTTGGTGACGGAGGCCAGTGTGCTCGAGGGTCTCGGCACCGCCGGAGATAGGCGCTCGGCCCAGGAGTTGAGCCAGGCGGTGAGCCGCCTGCTTCCTGGCCTGGAAGCGGAGACCAAGCTGAGTCGGCGCCGGGCCCTGGAGTGCCTCCAGCGGGAGCTCGAAGAAGGGCCCCCGCTGCCTCCAAGCGCCGACTTCCAGGAGCTCTTCAGCCGCCTGCTGCTGCCGCGGCTGCTCCGCTGCCTGGGCGACCCGGCCGAGAAGTGCCGGACCCTGGCCGTGCAGCTTCTCCGCCTGGGCCTGAGCCATGGAGCCCGGCCGCAGGACGCGCTGCCGCAGCTCATGCCGGCCCTCACGCAGCGACTGGCCGGCCTGGGCTCCGGGCCGCTGGTGGAGCCGTGCGAGGAGCTGCGCCTGGCCCTGGTGGAGCTGCTGAGCCTCGTGGTGCAGCTGTGCGGCCGTGGCCTGGCCCCCTACCTGGACGAGATGGTGCGCGTCCTGCAGAGGACCATCGTGGACCCCTTCCCGGACGTCAAGAGAGCGAGCTGTAAGCTCGCGGGGGACTTGGCGCAGAGCATCCCAGGTAACGGGGAGCCCTGGCAGGCCCCCCTCAGCCTGTGCAAGGGCTTTCGCTCAAGAGGTTTCTCTTTCCTTTTTTCTGCAGATCATTACCATATGCAGTCGGAATCCTTAATAGCTCCTCTCATGCAAACGATTTCACACCAGCACTCCAAGGTTCGAGTGGCCGTGATTCAGGCCACGGGGTTGGTGATACAGTATGGTAATGCCAAGTCAGTGAATGATGTTATTTCTCATTTTGCACAAAGGCTGTTTGATGATGTCTCCCAGGTAACTTTCTGCTTTTTTTTTCTTTCCTTATTCGACACCCTTTCTCTTCCCATCAGGACACTTGCTTAGGTAGTGCTAACAGCTCACTGTAATGGAAAAGAGGATCCTATTAACACTGGTATTGAGCTGGACAGTCAGGCGGCTCTCTCATTCACAAGATGTGGAATCTGCAATAAATTGGAAAAAGATGGAAGATTACTGTTCTTCAGAATTCTAGGACTGTATAGAGCAGGCATTTTTAGCCTTTTTTATATCATGGATCCCTTTGACAGTAGAAGATAGTAAGTTCTTTTTTTTTGGGGGGGAGACATTGAGTTTGAGATTCCTGCAGATGCCAGTTTGAAATGTCTAGTGTACAACTGGTAATGTGGACCTGGAGCTCAGGACAGAGACTGGGGGTGGATTTATGAATCTGGGAGTTATCTGCATAGAAACAGTAGTTGAATGCCTGGGAATTAATGAGATCATCAAGAGAGAATTTGGAGGAAGAAGAGGACCCAAGAGAGATCTCTAAGGTGTGCTTCCCTCCCCACTCCATGTCTTCCCCAGGGAGGAGTAGAGTATCTAGGAGGTGGGCATGACTGTCAGTGATGTCAGAGGCCAATAAAGATAAGGACTTGGATTTGGTATTATTGTACAGTTACATCCTTGACCTCATTTGGGGGTTTCCTAACAGTCCTTCTCCAGACCATATTACAAATTGAAGAAACTGAGGCAAATAGGGTTTAGTGACTTGTCCAGGGTTACACACCTAGTAAATTTCATAGGACAGATTTGAACTCAGGAAGATGAGTCTTCCTGACTCCAGGTCTGGTACTCTATCCATAGGTATTTAAGATATCACTAATAATCTTGAAGAGAGTAGTTTTAGTTGAGTAATGAGATCAGAAGCCATATTAAAAGGAATTGAGAAGTTAGTGAGAGGAGAGAAAGTGCATATGAAATGTATAAACAGATTTTTTTCTAGGAGTTTAGCTATGAAAGAGAATTAAATCTTGAGAAAATTGTAGGGTCAAGGGAAAGATTTTTAAAGATGAGGAAGCCATAGCCATGTTTGTAGGCAGTAGGGAGGGAGCCAGTAGATAAGGAGAGATTGAAAATTAGAATGATTGTGGGGGCAAGCTATGAAAGGAGATGTGACCGAATGAATCAAGAATGCAAATAGAAAGGGTTGGTCTTGGAGAGGAGAAGGACCAGGTTTTTAGAGATTAGCAATGAGGCATAATGTCAAGGTGTTTTGAGATAGAGAATAGGGGAAAAAGCCCATGGTAGATGGCCTCTATTTTTTTAATGAAGTAAGAGGTAAAGTCTATAACTGAGAAAAAAGGGGGATAAAATGGTGACGGAAGCTTGAAGAGAGAATAAAAGATTAGGAACAGCTACCCTGAGAAGTAGCAAAGTAGAGAAGAAGAATAGAATTGCCTTGCTACAGTGAGGGCCCAGTGGGGATTAGATAACATAAATTTGTAGTAGACCTAATCAGCACATTTGTGTGACATCCTTCAGCACATTGTTTGATAGCCTGTGAGTAAAAGCAGAAGAGGCATATGGTAGGGGTAATCCAAGGGAATCAGCAAGACATGAATGACAAGACCAGGAAGTCAAGGGATTCAAGGGTAGAGGATGATGTATACTGAACTGAGCTTATTAACTATAGGGTCAAGATTGGGAAGGGAGGAAAATGAAATCAGCTGGGAAAACAATGAAAGATAAACTTGAGGTCATTACTCTCTAACTGGAATGCTATAAGGTTCAGGGGAAAAAAGTGAAAGTAAGATTTGGTACTTCCTTCTTAACATACATATTGAAACAAATTGGTGGTGGGAGGTTCTTTTTTAGTTTTGCTGCCTTAGAACTCTCCCAGATTTTCTTGACAGAAAGTACCAAGTCTGAATTTGCAAGAAGGGTAATACTGTCATAAAAAAGGAATGAGGCTTGGTCTTTGTTTCCTCTTCCTGCCCCATCCCCTCATTTTAATTTCATTATGGAGGAAGGTAAATGTATTAGAGGAAGAATAAAAAACTGTCTATAAATAGTTTTTTGTTTCTCTTTTAAAAATTTTTTTGAATTAGTTTAGTTTGATTTATCAACAATCACTTCCATATGCTTTTGAGTTTAAAATTTTTCTCCCCCTTCTTCCCCACCACCCTTCCCAAGATGGTGTACAATCTGATATAGCCTATACATATACATTCCTATTAAACATATTTTCACATTAGTGATGTAAGAATTAGAACCAGTAGGAGGAACCACCAGAAAGAGGAAACAAAACTCAACAGAAGAAAAAAAATAGCAAATAGTATGCTTCGATCTGCATTCAAACTCCATAGTTATTTCTTTGGATGTGGATAGCATTTTCCATCACGAGGCCTTTGGAGATGTCTTAGGTCCTTGTATTGCTGGGAAGGGTTAAGTTTATCAATATTAGCCATTGCACAACGTGGTTGTTACTGTGTACAACGTTCTTCTGGTTCTGCTCACTTCACTCAGCATCAGACCATAAAATCTTTCCAGAGTTTTTCTGAAGTCAGCCTGTTCACCATTTCTTATAGCAAAATAGTATTCCATTGCGTTCATATACGACAACTTGTTCAGCCGTTCCCCAGTTGATGGGCATCCTCTCAATTTCCAATTCTTTGCCACCACAAAAAGAGCTGCTATAAATATTTTTGTACCTGTTTCTCCTTTTCCCATTTTTATGATCTCTTTGGGATATAGCCCTAGAAGTGGAATTGCCGGGTCGAACTATGCCCTTTGGGCATAGTTCCAAATTGCTCTCCAAAATGGTTGGATCATTTCACAATGTATTAGTGTTCCAATTTTCCCACATCTTCTCCAACATTTATCATTTTCTTGTTTTGTCATCTTGGCCTATCTGATAGGTATGATGTGGTACCTCAGAGCTGTTTGGACTTGAAAATGTGTGTGTGTGTGTGTGTGTGTTGTGTGTGTGTGTGTGTGTGTGTGTGTGTGTGTGTGTGTGTGTGTGTGAGTGAAGAATGGAGGGAGAGAAACAGAGAAGGAGGGAGGAGGCAGGAATAGTCTTTTTTTTTTTTTAATTTTTTTTTTTGGTGAGGCAATTGGGGTTAACTGCCCAGAGTCACACAGCTAGTGTTATGGGTTTGAGTTTGGATTTGAACTCAGGTCCTCCTGACTGCAGGGCCGGTGCTCTATCTGCTGTGTCACCTAGCTGCTCCTTGGAGTAGTCTTTAGGTACAACATGGTGATATACTGAAAATTTCAGTTATATAATGTAAATGCTAAAATAAGGATTTCCAGTATTGCTTTCTGTTATCTACATTGGAATAGATATCAAAGGAGATAAGCAGAAATATGAAAGAACATTCTGAAAGGTATAGTGCATTCAGTTTGTATAGTATATGAAAACTACCAGGAAGGAGCAGTATAATAGCATATATGGAAGTAATGTTACAAGATACTGTAATGCTTCTAATATGAAGGAAAAGATAGGCCAAGGGATAAGACAAAATCAATGTTAACCTTGGAAAAATACAACTTGATTCATAGAAACATAGAGTCTTTGAGATGAGTTCTCCTCTAAAGTTTTTGAACCTAGTTCTTGAATCATTTTATTATATATTATGTATATAATATGTTATATATTGATTTATATTCCCCAGGATTAAGGAGTATGCAGAGAAAATTGACTTTATTTTGTGGTTAAAAAATGTGGGTTTGCTCCTTATGCATAATTTAATCAGTTCACAGTAGATAGAATTGAAAATGAACTGATATTTAGTCATATTTTTTCTCTGTACATTTAGTCTCTATGCATTTACACCTGTCCTAATTTCTCACCTCCCCATTTAACAGATGAAGAAACTGAGGTCTGGGGAGATTAGCTGACCTACTCAAGACAAAGCTCTCATTTATTCAGTAAAATTAGGTACTTCCTTACACCCAGGTATCTTCATGTCTGGGGGAAGAAACAAAAATAAACAAGACAAGGTCATTACCCTTAGGGAACTTAACTATTCCTCAGAATACTCCTGCAATTTAGGGAATAAAAGCCTATCAATAATTTGGTACTGAAGTTTCTGTGTTGTACTACATTATGACCAATTCAAAAGGTATATGCATATAAGTAGAATTAGCTTAAAGAGGGGATTAAAAAAAAACAGGGCAAGATTAATAATTGAAAACTAGATTTTTAAAAAATAAGAAAAAAGAACATCTAAGAGATGAAAATGTCGAATAAAAATATAAATAAGATTCAAGGAACCCTTTTTCTCTTAAGAAAGAAAGAATGAATGAATGTAAGTAAATGACATGCTTTTGGAAAGTATACTAACTCTTAGACCAACAAGGTTCCTTTAGTAAATTACTTTAGCCATGCCTTTCTCAGCAGTAGTACCAGTGTAATATTTCTTTTTTCTTTAGTAATTAAGTCTTCAAAGATGACATAAATTGAAAAATACACACACACACCCACACAAGCACTATTTCCAAAAACCATTCACTAATATTACAGCTGGTTTTATTTTCACCTCCCCTCCCCTACCTCCTTCAATAACCAATTTTCAACATATTTAAATTTTTTTTATTAATTTATTTTGATTTATCAACAGTCATTTCTTCAGTGAGCTTTTGGACTTCCTTTTCCATTTGGCCAATTCTGCTTTTGAAGGCATTCTCCTCATTGGCTTTTTGGACCTCTTTTGCCATTTGGGTTAGGCTATTTTTTAAGGTGTTATTTTCTTCAGTATTTTTTGGGTCTTCTTTAGCAAGCTGTTGACTTGTTTTTCATGATTTTCTTGCATTACTCTCAATTCTCTTCCCAATTTTTCCTCTGTTTCTCTTACTTGCTTCTCAAAATCCTTTTTGAGCTCTTCCATGGCCTGGAACCAATTCATATTTTTCTTGGAGGCTTTGGATGTAGGAGCTTTGACTGTGTTGTCTTTTTCTGGTTGTACATTTTGATCTTCTTTGTCACCAAAGTAAGATTGTATGTTCTTACTCTTTTTGCACTGCTTGCTCAT